CGGAGGTCAGTGCATACCTGCTTCATCTCTTAGAGCTGAGTATCCAGTCGGTGGTTTAAAGGCTCATAGAACTCCTTCTTGATAGCTCCCCGGGTGTATATGAAGGAGTCTTGCTTGAGAAGATGCTTTGCGATGTCGGCTGGTGTTAAGAAGTGGTTTTCTTGCTCGCGGTGCATGCGTTGATCAAGGGCTTCAAACAACTTGCGGGTGCAATAGCTTGGGTTGCGGAGTTTATCTTTGTACTCCTTCCTGATTTCATCGTAATCACGGCATACCTGACTCTGTGGCTGAGGCATGGCTGCTGCTCTTGCTCCTGCTCTGTGATCCTAGTGGTTCTCGCTAGGGTTCGCTGTGTTCTTGGTCCCGGGAGTTGAAGTTGCTGGAGGCTGAATCTGCTTCGTTGGATGTGGGTGACGTGGTCAGTCTGGATTCTTTGAGGTGGTTGGACATGAGCTTTTCAGTTTGATGGTGGATGAACGGCTCAGATGTGGCGCTGAAATTAATTTATCCATTGGGAAAATTTTTTGCTTGGAATTTTGTTGAAGGGGCGGAATTTTTGTTAATGCTGGTCGTGGTATTTGCTGGAGGAGGCATGGTTGCGTGTTCTTTAAGTGATTGGCAAAGGTAGTGAATGTTTTCTTTTGTGGAACGTGTCAAGGAGGTCGGGGCGGTGAGAATGTTGTTCTCAGCTGGTGGAGACACTGAGTTCTGGGCGAGCAGCTGACGTTTTCCTTAGGCGATGTTGATGTGTTTGCAAGAAGTTGTCGGTTTTGGGGCTGATTCGAGTGGATGTGGGCTCTGGGGTGAGTGTGGATGGTGGTGTGAGTTGTCTTCATTGTCACTGATGACGAGGTGCTCTTGGATCAGCGGTTTTGGAGCTGGATTCACTGGTGTTTTGCGTGTGAGGTGGCAGAGAAGTGGAGTTGAATCGTTGGAGTGTTTGTTGCTGGAGCTGGTGTTGTTGGAGTGAGTTGAGCCTGATTGTTGAGATGCTGGCTTTGGTTTTTTGCTGGGAGTTGCTCCTTCTGATTCTGAGTGTTCTTCAGAGCTGTTGCTTTGTTCTATGGAGTTCGTTTGGGTTGTCCACAGTTGCTTGTTGGGAAGAGCTTGGTGGCATTGGGAAGATTACTGTCTGCATGGTCTTCTGGTTGGGTGTAGCGAGGATGGCGCGGTCGAGAAGCTTGAGAACGAGCTCGTGGAGATGATGAGCCATGTTCACACGTTTGCCGTCGAGTAGAGCTCTGTAGACTTCTGCTGTGCGCTTGCCAATGGTGCGATCTGTTGGGTGAAGTTCATAGTAGAGGAGGAGGGCTTTGAGGCCATCCATATGCTGCTCCTCGATGTCCTCCCATGTGAGCTCACCGGTAATTTCTCGATTGGCCTTGATGATTTGCTGTGGAACTTCTCCTGAAAATTTGAGCAGTCCTTTGTTGGAGATTTTGAAAATAGAGGTGATTCTTGCTGGGCTGAGGGTGATCTCGTTGGTGCCATCGGTTATGGTGCTGTTCTTGGGGTTGAAGGAAGCAGCCAGTTTCCTCACCAGTTTTTGGTCTGGGTGTGTTGAAAAGGCCCTGTGGAGGAGCTTGAATCCATGGTCCTTGAGCCAGGTGGTTGTGTCTTTGCTGGGAAGCCTAGGAATATGGTGTATGACGTATCTAAGGTGCCGAGGTGGATGAGCTGGCATCTTTCTTTTCATTTTCTGTGATCGAAGTGCTCGCCCCATTAGGGTTCTTGAAACCTGTAACTGTTGGTTGGCTGATCGTGCGGCACTCAATTGCTGGTGATGAACGGTAGAGATTTGTTGATGGAATTGATGTGGTTTGATTTGGCTTGATTGCAAATCAATAGTGGATATTGGTGATGAAGTTAACTCAAGTTCAACTGTTGATATTTGCTCAGGTGGCGTTGATCCAACGATAGTTTGGGACTTAGAGATTTTTGCTGCTGTTTGTTGCTGAAGAGTTCGTGTTGAGTCGAGTTGAGTTGTGTCGAACTGATTTGAGTTAAAGTTTGTCTGCTGGGGTTATTGTCAATTGTTGGTTTTGGGGTGTTTGTCGGTTTGGGTCGGAAATTTGCTGACGTGCTGATGCTGAACATGTTGACATGATATGGTCGAAGCTTGTTGAGGTTGACAATCTCAGTGAAGTCTTCAGCGAGTGTGCTGACTTTGGCGGTGCCGTTGGGGTATAGTTCAATGATTTTGAAAGGTCCTTGCCAGTTGGTGTGGAGTTTTTGGCCAAGTTTGCCAATGGGTCCTTGGTACCAGAGAACATGATCGTCGACGCTGTATTTGGGAATGTTATGCCGGGATGCTTGTCGGTCGTGCCAAGCTTTTCTCTGTTTTTGGATGGCGTGAAGTGTCCAGAGGGCGTTGAGTTGGAGTTCGTCGAGATGTTTGAGTTGTTGAAGCCTTTCTCGAACTACATGTCGGGTGTCAAGATTATACTTGACGGTGACTCGCATGCTTGGGACGATGAATTCGATTGGCGTGATGGCTTCTGTTCCGAAGGCGAGTTTGAATGGCGTCATGTCAGTGGTGACTTTTTATGCAGTTCGATAGGCCGAAAGTACGTCAAGAAGTTTGTCGTCCTAGTCTTTGCCGGAATCGTTGATGACTTTTTTGAGGATGGTCTTCAGTGTTTTGTTTGTTGCTTCTGCTTGACCGTTGCCTTGAGGATAGTATGGTGTTGACATTTTGTGTTGGATTTTGAACTCAGTGGTGAGATATTCGATTGTTTCGTTGATGAAGTGGGTGCCTCTGTCAGTGACGAGTTCGAGTGGTGTGCCGAAACGAGTGATGATATTTTCATAGATGAAGGTTGCTGTTGCTTTCGCTGTGTCATGTCGGAGAGGTATTGCTTTGGCCCACTTGGTAGTGTAATCAGTGGCGACGATGATGTACTGATTTCGTCGGCGGGTGCTGACTTGGGGTCCGACGAAGTCGAGTCCCCATTTCTGAAATGGTGCCATTGGGAATGTTGGGTTGAGTTGTTGAGTTTGAGTTTTCGGAGGTAATCGGTGTCGTTGACATGTGTCGCAGCATTTGCAGAATTCTTCAGTGTCATGCCAGAGTGTCGGCCACCAGAGGCCGGCTTGAAGAATCTTCCGAGTTGTGGTGTCAGCGGCAAAGTGTTTGCCGGAAGGTCCATCGTGAGCTTCCTTGATGATTTGAGTTGTGTGTGGCTGCTTGATGCATCGGTGAAGAATGTTGTCAATTCCGAGTTTGTAGAGAGTGCCTCCAATGATTGAGTATTGTCGGGTTTTAGCAACAAAAGTCTTCTTTGGTCGGAGGTAGTGTACTGATCTGGAACTTTTGCTGAGTTCAGGTAACTGAAGACGTCGTCGAGCCAGGTTGCTGGTATTGAAACTCGGAATAGGTTTGAGTCCGGTAAGTCATCGGTAAGTCTTTCGGGTTTGTCACCGGTGGTGATCCGGCTGAGATAGTCTGCTTGCTCGTGATTTTTGCCGGGTTTGTGGACGATCTCAAAGTTGTATTCTTGTAGTAAAAGGAACCATCTTGATATTCGACCAGATAGTATCGGCTTGTTGATGAGGTAAAGGAGTGCCTTGTGGTCGACGAAAAGGATGACTTTGGTTGACAGTATGTAGTGTCGGAACTTTTGAAGTGAGTAGATCATGCCGAGAGCTTCTTTCTCGGTGGTGATGTAATTTCGTTCAGCTGGGTTGAGTAGTCGGCTGGCGTAGTAGATCGGTTGATCTCGGTTGTCGTGTTGAGTTTGGCTGAGAATTGCACCAGTGGCAACGTCGGAAGTGTCAACATGAATGTGGAACTCTTGTGTCCAGTCAGGCTTGGCAAGGATCGGTGCTGTTGTTAGTTTGAGTTGGAGATTGTCGAATGCTTGTTGTTGTTTGGACGTCCATGTCCATTGGGCATCTTGTTTCAGTCCATCAGTGAGTGGTTTGGCGATGTGAGCGTACTTGTGGATGAATCATCGGTGATATCCGACTTTGCCAAGGAAGCGCCGAAGTTCTTTCTGATTCCTCAGCGGTTCGAGTTTGGAGATGACGTCGACTTTGTCCTTGTTGATGAGAATGCCTTTGCAGACAACGTGGGCGAGAAGTACTCCAGATTTGACGAAGAAAGCACATTTGTCAGGGTTGAGTGCTATGTTATTCTCCTCGCACTTGTTGAGGCATTTCTCCAGGCATTCAAGATGTCGATCTTCCGAGCTGAAAACGCTGAAGTTGTCCATGAAGACTCTCATGAAGTCGGTGAGGTAGTCTCGGAAAGTGTTGGCAACGAGCCTTTGGAAGGTGAATGGGGCATTGCAGAGTCCAAAAGGCATTCGTCGGTAAGCATAGGCTCCCCATGGACTAATGAATGCTGTCTTGTGCTGATTTTCTTCAGTGATGTGAATTTGGTTGTAGCCGGAGAAACCATCGAGGAAGGAGTACATCTCGTGTCCGGCAACTGCGTCAAGAACTTCGTTGGTAAATGGTATCAGGAAGACATCTTTTTTGGTGGCATCGTTGAGCTGTTTATAGTTGATGCAGATTTGAAGTTTGCCATTTTTCTTCGGCACAACCACCAGTGGTGAAAGCCATATCAGATTCTGAATTGGGTAGATGTACTCAACTTGGAGAAGCTTGTCAAGTTCTTTCTTTACTTGTTCCATCAGATTCGGATTCATCCGGTAGGCTGCTTGTCTTCTTGGTTTTGAGTCTGGAAGAAGGGTGATGGTGTGAAGGCTGAGTTTTGGTGAAACTCCCTTAAGGTCTCGATAACTCCAAGTGAACAAGTGTTTCTTCTTTCAGAGAAGATTGATGCATTTGTCTCAAAAACTTGCCGAGATGTCGGTGGCAAGTACAATGTAGTGTTCATTGCCGTCGTCGGCAAGGCTGAATTTTTCGAGTTTTTGGTCGGCTGGAATGGACGGAATGTAGGCAACTTTGTTGTGGTTGTTGACTGTGAATGCCGGTGGCACTTCGAGTTTTGTATCTTGAGTGACTGGATTTTTCAGTGTTGATGTAATCGGGGGTCATTCTCGTTGGAAGTCGGCGACGATTCGAAACAGGTCGATCTCGGCCAAAGGTTTGAGATCAGGGTAGGCTTTGAGAATTTGTTGTTCTTCATAGTCGTCGAGGCCATCTTCGAGATTATATTCTTCCAAGTCAATAGGTCGGTTGTGGCTGGACAGCGATTTGGTCGCTTTTGTCGACACGCTTGTCAGTCCGTCCGGTCCTCGAAGGATAAGATTGTCATTGGGCCAATCTTGATAAACTTGGGCAGTTCGGAGCCAAGGTTGACCGAGGAGAATCGAGTATCCGTCGGTCTGCTCCAGTAGTTTGAGGACATAGTTGACTGGTATTTTGACACCTTGAATGGTGGTGTTGACTTTTCGGATGATGCCTTTGGGTTGAACAGATCGATGGTCGGCCATTTGGACATTGAAAGGTGTTGGGTGGACTGGGCTGATGTTGAGTTGTTGAACAAGACTGTCTTCAATAATATTAATGCTGGAGCCGCCATCAATTATGGCTCCTCGACCAAGGTGTTTGTTGAGCCGTAGTTCGATTGTCGGAACATTATTGTCACAATCGCCCGGTTGAATCTCAATTCGAAATGTGTCAACAGCTGTTTGTGTCAAGTTGAGTATGGACAAGTCTGTCAAAGTGTTGGTTGGTGCAGATGTCAGATCAGTGAGCTGTTTGGTGAGGTAGGGTGTAATCTTCAGCAGTTGGCCGACGGTGATCTGAATATTTTGGTTGAGGATAGTCTCTGCTACTTCTTGGATTTCGTCGAAGTTTGCCGAATTGTGTTCTGGTGTCTATGTCGATGTTGGACAATTTGTCTGTCGGTTTTCTGGTATTGAGTCTTGGCATTGTTGTCGAGCTGGTGATGGTTGAGCTTCATTGTTGGAGTCTAAAATCACTAATTCAGGTGGTTGTAGAGCGAGTTGCCGTTGTATCTTGGTGGCTAACTTCTGCTTCTTTTTCCATTCCCGGAGTTTTGTTGGGCTCTCAGGGCCTTTCTCTTCACTATCTCTGGAATCTCTGTCCAATTGTTGTTGTTTTTCTACTCGAATTTGTGCTCGAGTTTGTACTGCCATGACTTGAGGATCTGAGTCATCATTGTTGGCATAAGGTAGTTCGTCGGTCTCGACCATCCTTGTTGTTGGTGGTTCTAATCTTGTTGTCGAGGAGGCGGCAGACCAAGTCTCGGTGGACCGCCTTGGTTTTGAAGTTGAGGTTGCCATGGTCAATTGTTGTAGTTGCCTTGGTAGCCCTGGTCTTGATAACTTTGGCCTTGGTATCTTCAGTTCTGGTATCTTGGGTATTGTTGGTATCCTTGGTTGTAGTTGTCGCAGTTTGCTGGGTAGTTCCAGTTCGGCGGGTATTGTCAATCGTTGTAGTTGTTGTAGCGAGGTTGATCATTCCATTGTCGACTCTGGTGTTGGAAGTTGTTTCTCGGCGGTCTCCAGTTTGTCAGAGGTGGTGCCTGGTAATTGTCGAAGTATTGATTTGGATATGGTTGTCGAAACTACTGTCGGGGATAGTTCGAGACTTGTCAAATTTCTGGAGAATTTCAAAATCTGCAAGTCTTGGCATCATGACCTTCTTTGGCACAGATCTGGCATTTGGAAATTTGGAGTTTGCAGTCACTTGCTGGATGTCCTTTGTTCTTGCATTTAGTACACCAAATTCCAGATCGAAATTCTTTGATGTCGACCTTGGCTTTTCCCTTGAGCTTGTCGATTGTTTTCCTGAGTTTCCGAAGTTTTGACTTGGTGCTCTCTCCGAGTTCATCATCGGAGTCGTCGTCGGAATTGCTATCAAAATCTGAGTTATCCGTGTCATCTACTTGTGCTGTCATTCATCGAGCTTGAACATCTTGAAGGGCTCTTGCGAGTTCGAGGTAAGTGGCAATGTTGATGTGTGTTGCCGCTTCTCGGAGGGATCGTCAGAGGCCTTGCATGTACCATTGGTAAAGTAATGTTTCAGTGGCATTGTTGCCGCATTTGCTGGCATGTTGAGTGAAGGTTTGAGTGTAGTCGTCGATGGATTGACCAGACTTCTGCTTGAGTTTTTGGATCTTGTGAAGTCGTTGGCTTTGAGTGAGGGAAGACTTGAATCGGTCTATGAGTTTGAGTGTGAGGTCATTGAAACTTGTATTTTGAGGAAGCGTTTGAGCCCATTCGTTGGCTCTCTTTCGAAGGGTACATTGGAAGTACTATGGGAGTTCAGCCCTCTGGCTGTTGATTCGAATTGCTTCTCGGAACTGTTCAACATGTTTCTCGGCATCTTCTAACTTCAGACCATGAAATAGTGGATAGGAGACGTGTCTTCCGACAGGTATATTGGCGACGGCGGTAGTGACTGCCATTTGCTGTTGGTAGTAATGTCAGTATTGTCGAGGTTGTGTTGTTGGGTTCTCACCATGGAGTCCGAAGGTGATTTGGAGCAAGGGGTTGTCGGGGTCGATGGCAAAGTCGGTGTAGGAGGAAGGTGGTGAATTGTTGTTGTTGTTTAGTGGACTCTCATCTGTTTTTTCTTCTATGTTGGGACTGTTTTTGGGTGTGTCGTCAACGTCATCGTCGGTGTCAAGTTGCTTGCCGGTGTTGATTTTCAGAAGATGGTGCTCGAACTTGTTGTTGACGTACTTGTCGGAGTTATGTTGTGTTGGTTGGGGTTGTATTTCTAAATTGTCAAAGAATTCTTCAAACGTATAGTTGTGTGGTGATTGTGGTTGCTGTAGAAGATTGTCGTCGATGATTGGTTCGTCAATCTCGTTGTTGTTGGATGATTGTAGCTGTTCGGCAGCTCGGTGTGAGTTGTTGACTTTTTCAGTGAGTGCTTGACTATTGGACAATTCGGGTTGTTTGTCTTTACTGCTATTGACTGGGTATATTGGAGTGCGACTGTAATTGGTGAAGTTGAGTTGTTGTCTCGTTGGCACGTTGAAGTCGAAAGCATGTTCGAAAGGTCTTGCTGATAGCGGGCTTCGGTAGATGTTGGAAGCAAATGTGGGATATATTGGTGTTGTGAAGATCGGTTGGTATGGCGAAAATGGTGCTGGTCTGGTGAAGTCTGTGAAGCTGGGTGGGAAACTTGGTCGTTCGTCGTCACTGTAGATGGGGTTGGTGAATGTACCTTTGAAGTGGTTGAAAAATGCTTGAAAAATGTTTTGTTTCTCAGGCGTAGTCTATGTCGACTGCTCAAATGTTTGGTCGGGCTCGGGCTTGGGCACTTCGGTGGGTACCGTCGAGGGTGTTGATTCAGGCTCGGGCACTTGGGTGGGTGCTGTCAAGGGTGTTGATTCAGGCTTGGGCACTTTGGTGGGTGCCGTCGAGGGTGCTGCCAGTGGTGTGTCCGGTGGTGTTGTGTAGTCGTCGTATTCTTTGCGATGTCCGATACTGGTTCGTCGGAGTTAGCTCGCGGTAATAATTCGTGTCGGATGTAATTCTCTCTCTTGGAGGGTCTAACAACTTGATTCAACTTCACTTGGTCTTTCTTTCTCTTTGTTTCTAAATTCTTCAAATCTCTATCTAAACGTCAGATAAGCTGTTGTCGGTCTTCTTCCGACTTGCTGGATGTTCTTTGTGGTTTTGGATACATGCATCCTTCTACTAGTTGTCGGTGTCAGATTTGTGTTTGCAGTCAATCATGCAGTTCGGGTAGAACTTTGGGAAGACTGTCGGCGGGCCAATTGTTGATAAAGTTGTTGTGAGCTTGTTCTTTCTTTTCAGTGCAAATATCAACAGTGGTGTGTGTTGGGTTGGGTTGTGTTCAGCCAAGTTGTGTTGGGTCGAGTGTGCTGGTGTAGTATGCAAACTGGTCTTCCACTTGCTGGTGCCGAGATGGAGTTCGATGAAGAGTTTCGGATATTCGGGTTTGTCTGGAATGATTTCTTCGATAATGTTGTCGAGTTGTTCAAGTCAGGATTGGGCGATGGCGTGATTGGCAAGAGTTGTTGCAGCGAACGTGTTGATTTTGAACCAAGTTCGGACTGTTGTTTCGGTGCTGAGCTGCTGACTTTGTTGGAGGGGTTGTTGAAAAATCGGTGGTGCGTTGTGAAGTTGTCCCTCGACAAGTTGTCCGATACCGGGTAACAAAGTGATGGGTTCGTCGTTGGTGTAGGTTCTGAGGATGTGCTTCAATATTGGGACTGGGTGCAGGAACTGGAATCGTGTCAGAGCACTAGGATTGCCGGGTCGACAACTGCATGGAAGATGGGTTCGTTTCGGCAGTGGTGTCGGTTTGTGTCGAGCGCGCTGGTTGAGGTCTCGAGCTTGGAGTGGGTGGTCTTGTGCTCGAAGATGGAGTTTGCCAATGAAGCTGTTGAGGGCGTCTGCTGATGAAGGTGCTGGTAGATTGGAGTTTCTTGTCAAAGAGGGTTGTTGGTGTTCTTTGTCGGTGATTGGACTTAGAGATCTTGAGAGAGATCTTTCAGATTCTTCAAAGATCTCCTCTAGAAAGTGTCTGTCTTTACTGCATTGGGCAGCAACCGCTTGGACGCCGTTGATCCATGTTGGCAGTGGCATTTGCTTGTTGAATTTGGGCGAATGTACGAATTAGAGCGTAATTTGGGCGAATTTGGGTGAGATGGGTAGATTTCTGGATCGTTCTTGCTATCTGCGCACAGAGAATGGAGAAAAAATAGAAGAATTTGTAAACCTGAAGGGGAATTCAGAAGCCATGGTCGCCAAATGAAGAGGTGTGAAAACTTCTCTTCGCTGGAAATCTACTGTTAGTAAGAAAATAAAAGAGAAAAGGGCCCGATCTCCAAGGGCTAAGAAGAAGCATGAGTAAGAGAATGTTGTGTATTGATAAAAAAAATGATGGAATGGAGATAGGGATTCACAATTAGGATTCCCCCCTTTGAAAGGCTAGCAGTTCTAACTGCTAGCATATACTATATGTTGTGCATAATTTAATCTATGGCTCTGATGCAGCCCTAGGTTCAAGGCTGGAGTCCCTTGAGCCTAGGTTTTTGGTTGATACAGATGGAATCAATTTTTTTCTACAACTTCCACTTTCAAGATTCACATATCCAAGATTTTATCATAAATAAGATAATGTGATATTAATGTAATATATGAAATATTGCATATATACCTCCTTAGACTAGTAGTAGATTATACACTTTGTAGTAAATCCCACAAATTAACTTTGTCTAATTGAGTCTTTTGGTAGTCCAAATTAAGTAGGGGGCTCTTTAAGCATAGTTTTCTAAACATATTTCAGAGTTGCAAATGAGTTTTTTGTAATCTCTTCTTACATAACATCTTTGAAATAGTTGATAAAACTACTTTGTATCCCTTTTGGCATTAGATACATGTATGTACTAACATGCACTATGGTTCTTCTAGCCACTCTATCCCAAGGAAGAAAGTAGTATATTTTAACTTCACAACTGACACGGCATAAAGTAGCATTTCCATGGAATCAACACTTGAATTTAACAATAATTGTATCATAAGTAGGAAAATTGATTACAAACTTTTTGAAAAACATGAATTTTTGTAAAGATTTCAATTGTATATTTTATCCATACAATCCAAATGCCTACCACAGTGAACCATAGACATTATACCTTTAAAATGTTAGAAGTGTGTGGTCTTAATCTTGGATTATTTATGGATATCTTACTTACTATCCATTTGTTTGGAACCAAAGTTACTAATAAAAGATGGTAATTTGAAGAAGATGTTGCCATTATAGGAGGATAGAACTTTCCTTTTGGGTTTATATAAAAAAAACTGCACATTGACTAAGAGGTGGGAAAATTAGAAAATGTTATTAATAGTTTTGAATATTACTGAAGATGGAGTTAGTGAATTTAGGGTTGATGAATTGGAAGAGGAAGAGAGGATGACAAATAATTCTTGCTTCACATTCATTTTAGCCAAATTGCATTTTTGACACTTTTATTGAAGATTAAAAAAACTGAAATTTACTTGGACTTGGAATTCTACAAATTCTATTATTACCTGCCCTCACCCACACAAAAAAACACTCCAAGAATGCAATCATACTAGTATTGTTGTGAATCACAACCTCCAAAGAAATAGACCAATATAAAACCTTTTAAAAATAAGTTTTAAAAGAATAAAAGTAATGGGTGATTTTAAAAATGTAGAAGAAACCTCTCTATTATTTTCTTTAG